GGAAACCAATTTGACAATAAATTTCATATTAAAAAAAACAAATTATACCATTTAAAAAAATCAAGATATACTTTACAGGATATAAAATTCACCATTTTAAAATGTGATCCTTTACATAATAGAAAGTTCGCCGTTCTCAAATGTGCATTTTGGAGGTTTTTAGTATATTCACCGTGTTGTACAACCATCACCTAATTCCAGAACACTTGCACCCCTTCCCCCAAGAAACCCTGTACCTATTCGCAGTTAGTCCCACTTCCCCTCCCCCACAACCACTAACCTACTTCCTGGTTTTACGGATTTGCCTGTTCTGGACATTTCGTATACACGAAATCATATAATATGTGGCCTTTTGTGCCTTTGGCCTTAGGTTTTGAGCATTTGGTAGCACATCCGCCTCTCTAGTCCCCAGTGAACACCATGAGGACAGGAATGGATACTTCTCTTGCTCTATTTCCCTGGTACCCAGTGCCTGGGTCCTAGAAGGGGTCAGTCCCTACGAGTCTGTAGATAGGGACTATGGCAGCAGTCCACACATATATATATGTAACCTATATGTATACACACATAATTATTTTCATCTTACAGATGGGAAAACAGGTTCAAAGATCACACAGCTACTAACTGTCAGGGCTGGGGTTCAAACCCAAGCAGCCTGGCTCAGGCAGGCTCTGTCAGCTCTGTGCAGACCTGAGCCATGACTTTCCTTTGAGGCAGGGGTTGCTGACCAAGCCCTCACGATGCCCAGGCCCTTCAGGCTGAGGTGTGAGATGGTGGAGGTGTGGAGGTGTGAGGGGGGAGGTCTTACTCCCTCCTTCCGTTCAGTCCCCTCCCCCCTAGCCCAGTCTCCTGCTGCTGACCTTTGTCTCCATCATTAGAAATCTTGCGCAGGTCAATGAAGTGGGTGCCGATGGCCACGTCGTTGACCTTGTCGGAATCTCGGATCTGCACCTTCATGCGCTTGCAGAGTGGGGGGAACAGGTCTGTAAAGATGACCTGCTCATTCCACAGTGGCTCATAGCTGCTTTTCTGTACTGATGTCTTGCCCTGGTGGGAGGGAGCGAAGGTTAGGGTTTGTGTGTGTGTGTGTGTGTGTGTGTGTGCGTGTACGCATATGTGTGGTGTGTGTATATCACATGCATGCATATATGTATATGTATGTGTGGTGTGTGTATGTGTGCAAGTGTATGTGTCTATGTGGTGTGCATATGTGTGCACATGTATATGTGTATATGCATGTGTGGGGGTGTGTGGGTACATGTTTGTGTATGTATGCATATGTATATGTGTATGTATGTATGTGGGGTATGTGTGTATGCCTGTGTGTGCGTGTGGTGTGTGTATGCATGTGTACATGTGGGGTGTATGTATGTGTATGTGGTATGTATATGCATGTGTATATTGTGGTGTCTGTATATGTGCATGTATATTATATAATGGTGTGTGTATGTGCACACATGTATGTATGTGTGCATTCATGTGTGTGGGGTATGTATACATGTGTACATGTGGGGTGTGTGTGATATGTATATATGTGTGTATGCATGTGTGTATGTGTGGGCTGTGTGGATGTATATGTGTATGTGCATTATGTATGCATGCATATGTGTACGTGTAGGACGTGTGTATGTGTGGAGTGTGCGTATGCATCTGTGTATGTGTGATGTGCGCATATTTGTGTGTATGTGTATGTGTGGCATGTGTGTATGTATATGTGGTATGTGTATATGCATGGGTATGCATGCGTATGCGTCGTGTGTATGCATGCCCATGTGTATTGTATGTATGTATATGGGCTATGCATATATGCATGTGGTATGTGTGTATGCATGTGTACATCTGGGGTGTGTGCATGTGTATATCATATGTGTATATGTGTGCATATATGTGTACGTGTGTATGCATGGTGTCTGTATATGTGCAATGTGTATGTGCACATATGTATGTGTATGTGTGTATTCATGTGTGTAGGTGTGGTCTGTGTATGCATGTGTACATGTGAGGTGTGTGTATGTGATATGTGTATATGTGTGTATGTGTGATGTGTGTATTTGTGTGTATGTGTATGTGGGATTATGTATGTATACATGGTATGTATATATGCATGTGTGTGCATGTGTGTATGTGTGTGGGGGATGTGCATATACACGTGTATGCATGTGTATGTGTGGCATGTGTGTATCCATGTGTGGTATGTGTACATGTGTGTATGCATGTGTGTATGTGGGATTGTGTATGTATATATGGTATGTCTACATGTGTGTGCACGCATGTGTGTATGTGTGTATGTGGTATATATATGCATGTGTGCATGTGTGTATGTGTATGTGTGGGATATGTGTATGTATATGTGGTATGTGTATATGCGTGTGTATGCATGTGTGTGTGGGATGTGTGTATGTACGCATACATGTATGTATATGTAGGTATACGGGGCATGTGGTATGTATGTATGCATGTGTACATCTGAGGTGTGTGTATGTGTATGTGTGTGTATGGATGGTGTTTGTATGTATGCATGTATATGTGTATATGTGCTGTGTGTGCACACATGTATGTATGTGTATGTGTGTATTCATGTGTGGGGTATACGTGTATGCATGTGGGGGGATGTGTGTATGTATATGTGGTATGTGTATATGCATGTGTATGCATGTGTGTATGTGTATGTGTGGCATGTGTGTATGTGTGTGTGTACTTATATCCAGCAGGCGCTCTCCCCCATTCCAGCCTCTCAGACTCTCCTCCCTTTCAATGCTCCTGCCTTAGCTCTTGGTGTCTAGAACACAGAGGCAGGGAGGACCCCCAACCTGGCCTTGGCCCCAGCCCCTCTCAGCTGGAGCTCCCCTCACCTCTCACTCTCTTCCAATGCACCAGGGGATCGAAGGCGTCACCCGGCTTCTGATTTTGCCCACATCCTCCTCCAGACCCCTCCCCCAATCATCTTGCACCTCTAACGCTTCTCACCCCAAACCCAGCTTCCTGTATCCTGCACCTCAGTACCTTCTGGCCGGCAAAGAAGACTTGCACGTAGGGGTCAACAAGGTCCTTGTTCTCCCCGATGAACGCCTTCTTCACGTTGGCCATGAGGCTGGTGTTCATACGGGGCAGCCCTTCTGCTCGGTAAATCTTCACGTAGAACCGGGCCCACTGGCGTTCGGGGGGCACCCCCTCGGGGAGCAGCAAGTTCCTGCCAGTATATACAGCTAAGGCTGTGGTGGCCCGGCCTGGGCACCCCGGTCCTGCCCTGGCGTCGGCAGACCTTTGGGGCCTGGAACAATCTCCGTGAACTCCTGCCCCCCGGCCCCCCTCCCCCACGCCCCACCGCCTCAGTCCTTCCTCTCCTGGGAGGAGAGTCTGCGGATGCCGAGACCAGCCCTGCCCTCGGTCTTTCTTGGAGGAGCTGGGCTGTCTGGGGGTGGGCGAGGACAGGGGTGAGGGAAGTGAGGGGTGGGGTCTGAGGGCCAAGTCCTCCCCAGGGTCTCCTGCTGGGGAAAGGAAGGATTAGGTCAGGTGTCCAGGGGCTGTGGCGGGATGGGAGCCTCACCCTTCAATGTCATCCTCGTCTGTCTCGTTGGCCTTGTGGGGCGTCTTGATGTTGTCCCCCTTGCCCACCACGGCCACGTCACACTTCACGTAGCCCTTCAGCCCGGCGGAGATGTCGTCGGGGTCCGACAGGATGGCCCACTTGTGGTGGAACTGGTGCTCTGCAGTGGCGAGGGGTGGGGACTGCACCTGCCGCCCTGGGACAGCTGCAGAGCGGCGGGGCCGAGCGTCTTTAGGCCCCGGGTCCCCAGCATGGCCAGGAGGAGACAGAGGCTCCCAGAGGGGCGAGCAGCTGGGACAAGGTCCCGCATCCCTGAGTGTGGTGTCTTTGAAGAGAAGACCCTCCAGACTGGTTTCTTGGCCCGCAGCCCTCCTAGCCCACCCCTGCGGACAACCTGCACACAGCTGCCGGACAGAACCTTCAGAGAGGCTTCCCCTCCCTCACTCCTCCTTTCGAACCATCTGGGGCTCGCCAGTGCTTGGGGTATCTAGACCACGGACCTTGGCGTGGTCTGTGGGGCCTCCCGATTCAGCCCTGCCTGGCTCACCCCACTCATCCCACCCTGCCCCTGTGCTCCTGCGGGGCCCGGCTGCTTTCTCCTCTCCGAACAATTCGAGGTGCTCTTCATACCCCTCTGCCTTTATAGCTGCGGTCCTCTGAGCTTGGAATGGCTCCTTCCTACCCTTCCCCCATCCGAACTTCTCTGACACCCGCCAGGGAAGGCTTGCTGGGCTGGGAGGTTGCAAGCACTCCAGGCCTCCTCTACGAGGTACCAGAGGATGGGCGTGGCCTCGTACGACCCTTCCTCATCTCCAGCAGGGAGCAGTGGTGACTGAGCAGTGTCCCTGAGGCTGCATCTGATGGCGCAAATGTGGTCCTGCCAGGGTGAAAACAGGCCCCGGTCCCCGGGAAAGCCTACCAGCTCCATAAGATCCTGCTACCACTGACTCCCAGCAGCACCCAGGAGTCCCGTGCCCCTGGCATCGTGCTTCCAGCGACTCCGTGGCTGGGTCAGCGACCAGGGACTCATCGGGGAGGTCAGGCCAAAACAGAGGCCATCAGAGTGCAGACATCAGTGCCCCAGCTGAAGGGGCCATGTGGCTTCAGCCTCCTCTGAAGGGTACCAGGCTCGGGAACAGATTCAGGAGAAGCAGCAAATCTGGCGGTGGGTTACCCTAGCGGAGAGCCTGGACTTTGGGCCCCCCTGGCCCTGGGTTCGCATTCTTTTCCTTTCCCTGGACCCGCTATGTAAGCTTGCTGAGCCTGTTTTCCTGCCGGTGAAACGCAGTGATGATGTCTACACGGGGCCGTGGGGGGTAGGCCCGCTGGGACGGTGTGCAATAGCCGTGTGCCTGGCACTTAACAGGTGCTCCCTGAGTGGCGGTGGTTCCCTCACCAGAACTCTACTGCCGGGAAGCCCAGGCGCCCACGTCAGGCTCCTCACTCACTCTCCAAACCCCTGCTACCGGTACGGCGCTGGGAAGCCTCCTCAAGGATGCCATTGTCACGCCAGCCCACGGCCCACAGCGGGGACTGCTTCCCCGGGAGGCACCAGATCGAGACTGGCCCTCTTCCCTGCTCCCTACAGCGCTAATGGTCACCGGGGCCACCCTCTGCTGAGGACCACGGTGTGTGTGTGACGGTGGAAAAGGCTGGCGTGGCAGCCGGGAGACCAGGTTCTACTCCCAGGAGGCTCCGGGCAAGTCTCTTCAGTACCCTGGGCCTCAGTTTCTTCATCTTCATAGAAAAGCTGGACTAGATGTTTTAAGGTCTCTTGCAGGTTGAGTGTTCTATGATTTTGTGATGTTTGTGTGTATCACCTTGGGTCTGGGCTCCGATTCCCTAGTCTAAGTCACAGAGCGTGCACCAGCCGAATGTCTACGAGGTCGAACCGGAAGAAATCGCCAATTTATTTAACTTAATAGTTTAGTGGCACCTTGTCTCATCTGTAAAATGGGAAGGAACGCTGATGCCTACCTCCCTGTTTCGTGAGGGTCAAATATGACACTCTGGGTGACATTGTATTGTCCCTGTCCAAGGGCCCAGTGGAGTCATTATTGCCTCCTGAGTGGTGGCTTCACTTCAGGGACACGGGCTGGGGCCCGGTGCCGGCTTGGATGCCCGTGGTTCCCGAGCTGGCCGTGTGCTCAGTTAGTCATCATCATCTGGCAGGCTGAGGGCACCTCCCCTGCCCGGCCCATGCCTCACGAGTCCTCTGGGCCACCCCTCAGGGTTCCCTCACCAACCGCATCCAGTGTCGGCCCGCGGGGACCCACAATGCTACTAGTCCCCACAGCCCCTCATGGCTGTTCTCGGGAGGCCCGGGTCCCTCGATGGATGGTCGGCGGGCCCCGCATCCCTCAGAAGCCGCCACACTGCATTTGTGGGGAGGACAGTGTGGCTCCGTGGGCGTCTGGAGTCACACAGCCTGATTTCGCCCCAGACCGACTGGGTGACTGGGGGGAAGCCCCAGCGCTTTTCTGAGCCCCGGGCCCCTCAGGTCAAAAAAAGGGGGCGATGCCCTTACCCTGCGGGGCTCCTGTGAATCCGGCAGCCTGAACACAGGTAGTCACGGCGGCCGTGTGCAGCACCCCATCATGCCACGCCCCCCAGTGGCCTCACACTGACTTTATGGTCCTGGCCAGGCTTGGCCCAGGGATCACCAGGGCGGGAAGGACGGCGAGTGCCACACTTGCTGAGCTGTGGGCACAGATACTCACCAGGCTGGGAGTACACAGTTCCCACATCCATCTTGAAGGACCCCACCAGGGTACCGCTTCGCAGCAGGTTCTTGGAGTGAATCACCTTCCGGGCAGAACCACCAGCCCCCAGTCAGGTGGGGCAGGGCTGAGGCTTTCCGCGGGGTAGGGGTGAGGTGGTCTGATGGTGGCACCACCTGTCTTTCTGGGCCATGGAGCCTTTCGGTGAAGCGGGAGGGCATTTGGCAGGGCAGGGACGGCTCGCTGAGGCTCAGCATCAATCTCTCCTGCCCTCATTTTTGCTGACTGCCAGGTACGGGTCACTAGGTCAGACCCTACACAGAGGCACCTGGCTAAACAGGTGACAGGGGCCCAAATCAGCCCGGCTGTGTGTCTGGGCACGGGGCTGCCTTTTAACGGTTGGTCCGCCCGGAGGGGTGCCCTTTTGGAGGGCACACGAAGGGGCAGTTTGAGCTAGTGGCTCCCCACTCACCGAGATCTTGATGATCTTGTCGAACATGACGTCCGGAGAGACGTGGAAGTCGAAGACGAAGTACTAGAGGGGGAAGGACCCAGAGCTGCTCTCACCCAGCGGACAGCGGCTAATGGCCTAAGGCAGTGATGAGTCCCTCCCTCCTAGCAGTGCCCGTTCGTACTCTGGCCATTTCCCCTGAGCCCCGAAGTTCAGGCGAGCAGCGGTGGTCGCCACTGGTCCCCCCTGACCCCGCGGCAGGTGGGAGCTGTGTGGCTTTGGGCAGCACCCTGTCTGAATCTGTTTCCTGAGCTGTGAAATGGGAGTAACGACACCCAGCTCAGAGCCTCGGTAAGATACCACAAGATACCGTGCAGTTAATACAGGCAACACAGTGCCCTTAAGCCACGATGCTCTACTGCCTAGAAGGTCTGTCCTGATTTCAGCGGCCGTTGAAATGTAAAATAAGGCCGTGAAGGCACCTAATTTGCTGTAAATGTAAAATGTGGTGGGTGTGAACTGCCTCCCTGAGCTGGGAGCTGCCCTCACCCCCTGCCCCATTTCTCCTGGCCTTGGTGTGCAGGTGCCAGGAACGAGAGTGGGAGGGCAGCGCACAGAGGGACCGATGCTTTGGTGAATGTGTGGGCAGAGACAAGGAAGAAACGTTGCCAACAGGCTTCGGGTCAATGTCTAAGGAGAGCCTGTTCCTGGCTTCTGGGGACTCACACTAGAGCACTGTGGGTAAGAGTGCTGCCTTTAGAACCAGACCGACCGAGTTTTTACTGTTAGGCCAATCGCTTCCTCCCTGGGTCTCAGTTTACCACCCTGGGATAGTGCTCGGGGCTGCCGTGTTGAACTGCCCCAGGGGCACCATCAAAGGGGGGGCGGGGTTTGGAGGCCTGGTCGTGAAGTCTGAACGAGCTGACCCTTGTTAAGCGTTCAACCCATGCGTGCACGTGGTCAGTGCCCCGTACACGCCAACTGCTGTGTGTGACGCAACACGTCCGGGTGGCACTGGCCGGGGGCACTGAAGCTCTGGAGAGGTGGGTGGAGATCTAGACATGCAGGTGACAACTGACGCCTTGGGGCTGGGGGCGGTACCCAAGGAGAGAACGGGAAGGGACCGGTCCAGGGCAGGGCTCCAAGAAGCAGCAGAAGGCACAGGGGGCATGTCAGGAAAGGCAGTGGGGGAAGGGCTGGAGAGAAGGGGAAAGGAACAGAGAGGCCCCCGGGGCGGGGGAGGGGGGGTGGGTCGTGGAGAGGATGGAAAGGGCTGGGCAGTCAAGAGAGAGGCACGTGGACTTATGCTTAGGGACCGCATGGTCTTTGGTGACCCAGAGGAGGACAGTTTCAGTGAAGCCAGGGGGCAGAGATCGAGGCATGACTGGGAAGAGAGGCAGTGGGGACAGCCCACATAGTTGGACTGTGAGTGTGAGGACAGAAAGGGGTGGTCACTAGGAAGTACGTGGGATTGGGAAAGACATGGCTAGATGGAGGGGTGGGTGGGTGGATAGACACACAGGCTTCTAGTTCCTGTCCCTGAGCAGTGGGGTTTCCCCTAGTTGTATTCGGAGAGAATACTCAAGAGTAGAACACCTTGTAGGCAAAGGAGGAGCTGAGGGAAAAGTGAAGGCAGAGTTGGGGGCGCTGAGTGGACTGGGTAATGCTAAATTCTATGGGAAGAAGAAAGAGAAGGATCTAGGGCAGAGGGGAGAGGTGGTTTAGGCAGAAGGAAGATGCCAGTGACTTGGACCAGATGTGCCCACAGAGAAGGGGTCTTGGCCTGGACTTGAGCAGTCAGGCTGTTCTAGGAGGGCAATGGCCGTGAGCCTCCCTCCACATGAAGACAGGTCTCGAGCTGGGCAGGAGGCAAAGGCTAGGCCAGCTGTCTCAGAGCTGTGTCAGCCGCAGCAGAGTAGGCTAGCCAAGCTAGAACCAGAATTTTGCACTCTCGGAGTGGTCTTGTGGTCATATTCCTTGTGTTTCCCGAGCATATTTCCCTGGTCTAACCACCTAGAAGTCTGCTAAGTCGTGCTGATTGTTCTCATCTCCCTCCCTTGCGTTGAGTGGAGTCAAAGGAAGCTTCCTGCCAACTCGGAGAATTAGCCAGAAGTAGCACACCTCTGGGACCGGGGATATTTTTCAATGAAGAGGAACATGGCATAGGACAAGAAGCAAAAGAAAAGAAAGCCCCACTTTGGGACCAGGAGGAATCATGGGAAGATCATTTGCAGTGGTGGTTCTCAACGGGGGCGATGGGGCGGGACATTTGGCAAGGCCCGGAGACCGGTGGGGGTTGCCACTGGCATCGAGTAGGTAGGAGCCAGGGATGCTGCTCAACATCCCACCATTCACAGTCTAGCCCCTTATACCAAAAACTGGCCCCAAATGTCCACAGTGATGAGTTTGAGAAACCCTGGTTTAGAGGAAACATAAGTTAAATCAGAGCTACCTGGGTTTGTGAAAAAGAACAAATGTGATGGAGAACAAATTTAAGATTCACGTGAGTGGAAGGAATAGTCTTGGTGCATATAAACATGGGGTTTGGGAAACTGTTTCTAGGCTAGAAGTAGGCGGTGGCCTGTTCAGGCAAAAACTGTCATCTTTGCGGCTCCCGTGTTGCCAGGCATGGGCTTGAAGCGCATCACATACTCAGCAATGTTTGGTTCTCTCCTGGG